TTTCAACTGATCATTACACTGATGAATGTCCTAGCTTGGTGGAACCCACTATGGAATACCCATCTCAAGCTTTTGCTGCAAACATGTTTGGAGGAAATAGACCATACCAGAGTTATCATGATTCATCCTCCAATAGGTATCAACAAAACATACAACCTTATGTTCCACCTCAACAAAGGCAACAACCTCAACCTGAAATGTTACTACAAGATTTCATGAAAACAATACTTGACCAAAATTCAGAAATCAAGAAATCAATTGTAGAGTTGACTCATAGGGTGAAAAAATTAGAGCCTAAGGAGTCAAATAAACTACCTGCACAAACAATGATCAACCCGTAAAATGTAAGTGTTATTACTTTGAGAACGATTAAGCAAGTAGAAGGCCCTGAAGGAGCCCAAGAGGATGAAGATAAGAAGAAAGAAGGAGTGCAAATTGATGACAATGGAGGACCAACCGAGATCACGACGGGATGGCGAGCCGAAAAACAAAAAGGGTTTAAAAAAATATTTTGGGAGTCGCCACAATAATTTATTTTGGAAAAACTATGGAAAACCATAAAATAAGACATGGTCTACGAAATCCAGATTTTAGGTTCGGGAATCGGTTACGCCTAAGGAAGGTGTTCGCACCCTACTGCGTGTGCCCAAAGGCAGTACCTTTAATTAAAAGTATAAAGTTGACGTGGTTTTTCAAAATGTTTAATTTTCCCTAAAAATATAATATAAAGAAATTATTAAGAAACAAAAAATATTTGTTTGTTTTACGAACCCGACAAGGATTGACTTTGCTCCTACGTATATCCATTTATGATGGACAATCAGGGATCACATAGTTCTTTATCTAGAAAAGGGTTTGTGAGTTTGTTTGAAACTTATTATGGATTATTTTGGATTTTTGAAAAGTGAAATCAATTGGGATTGACATCGTTTTTTTTTTAAGAAAATCTTTTATTTTGAAAAATGGTGGTGAAAAAAGAATGAAACCGGCCATAGGCCGACGAGTACTTAAAGAATTATTTTATGACTTATTATTATTTTATATAGGAAAATACGTGATAAGAAATATTTTATTTATTTATTTTGAAGTTGTTTATTTATTATTTATAAAATGAATAAATATCACGTGATGTAGGAGATATAACCAATACCAAAAGAAATGAGAGAAGATATTCTTTTTATGAAAAACATTATTGGTGTGTAGTAATAAAAAATAATACCTTTAGAAAGACCTTCAACGAAAAGAGAAAAAGAAAGGTGTAGAGATGATATACCTTTTCAGCTTTCAATACTCCCCTAGTTCTTCCTTGATAGTTTCTGTTGGCAGAGTTCCTCTAGCGTGAGAACTTACTTTTCTCTACACTCTTCTGTACTCTTTCTATCTATATTATTTCAGAGTATTTCTCTCTACTTTTTTATTTCCTCCTTTTTTCTATCACAGGGTGCGTATTTATATACACACATTGTAATATTATGGTAATTTTTCCCTTAATTGTGAATTAATTGACAATGAAAAAAATAGGGAAAGAAAATGTTGCATTAAGGAAGTTTATTTTATTATTTTCCTTTTCCCTTTTTTTCTTTACCCACCATTAATTATTATTCTCATATTCTTTTTCAATTATTTACTTACCTGGACGAAATTGGGTGTTGACAACTGCCTCTCTTTATTTAGATTTTGCTAGATAACATGAACCTTAGAGTTTTCGTATTATCATAGTAAAAGCTAAATAAAGATAAAGCCACTAATTTCGTTTGGGTCTAAAGAGCAGGAAAAAGATTACCTTGAAGCGTACCTGGTAGAGAGTGTAGCAACCTGGTGGATTTTGCAGAAGAACTGTGACACCTCGTGATATTCTCTGGAGAGGTGTAGAAACTTTACGAATTTCTCTGGAGAGGTGTGTGAACCTCCTTTTTTTTTGGGTGCCAGGATGAAAACTGGGCTTTGGTGCTAGAATGAAAATTGGGCTTTGGTGCCAGGATGAAAACTGGGCTTGGGTGCCAGGATGAAAACTGGGCTTGGGTGCGAGGGTGAAAACTGGGCTTGGGTGCCAGGATGAAAACTGGGCTTGGGTGTCAGGATGAGAACTAGGCTTGGGTGCTAGGATGAAAACTGGCTTGGGTGTCAGGATGAAATCTGGGCTTGGGTGCCAGGATGAAAATTGGGCTTTGGTGCCAGGATGAAACTAGGCTTTGGTGCCAGGATGAAAACTGGGCTTTGACAATCTCGAAACATATGTTTATTTTTTGTTCTTTTTTTTTTGAAAATTCTAAATTTTTTCACCGATGTACTTTCCTTGAACTGATTTCTATCGATTTCATGAATTTCTGTTGAATGTTAGCGATGCATGGTGTGCCATGCTTTTCCTATGATGATGCATGCACTATGATGAATGCATGAATGTATGTGTGAAAATTCATGTGAGACCCAAATACTTCCCGTTTTGTTTTAATTCTAGAACATCCTTTAACAATACACTTGAACCTAGTGAATCTGCCTGTGATGCTCATTAGTTTTGGGAGACATTTTGAAAGTTAAGAGCGACCTTATGAAAGCGATGAAAAAAGATTTATTTAATAAAACATAATACAATATTGTCAATTCCACTTTAAAAGCATTCCATATCATGGAATCATTATGCATAGAATTTTTGACTACGTTAGAATTAAATGGCAAAGGCAACTCCTCTCCATCCATTCTGGTGAGAATAACTGCACTACCACCAAAAGCCTTCTATACCACATACGGGCCTTCATAATTTGGAGTCCACTTGCCCCTATGATCCTTTTGTATTGGAAAAATGTTTTTTAGGACCAATTCACCTTCTTGGAATTCCCTGGGATGTTCTTTCTTATCAAATGTCTTTTTGATTCTTTGCTGGTATAATTGCCCATGGCATGCGACAGTCGATCTTTTCTCCTCAATGAGATTGAGTTGATCAAATCGAGTTTGAACCCAATCTGCTTCTTCTAACTAGGTTTCCATTAACACTCGTAATGATGTGATTTCTACCTCGAATGGTAGTATTGCTATATACCAACGAAAAAGGTGTTGCCCCAGTTGACGTGCGTACCGATGTGCAGTACTAGTGTAAATCGAAGGTAGAATCCTCTTGATATTTTTTATTAGCGGCCTTGATTGCCCCATTCATCTTTGGACGATGATGTGAAGTTTTCAAGTCTACGACAATGAGAAATTGTCTTTAAATCACGATAGTCAATACGCATTTGCTTTTTATCGTCCTTCTTCGACACGATACTTGCCACCCATTAGGAGAATTTTACCCTGGCTAAGAATCTCGTATAGAACTGCTTTCGTATTTCATATTTGATTCTAAAGACATTCTGGCTTGAGTAATAACTCGTGTTGAACTCTTTCTTCATGCCAGTGCCGACTTTTACCTCTTTTTTTTCGCCCTCTTCAGCTATATTAAAGATTTCAACCTCTCTTTGATGGGGTTTTATTTCTTTACAATCTTCCTTCAAAAATCTCATTAACTCTGGAAGGGATTCCGGGTCAATGATAATCATCTTCCATGTTATTGATAGGGTGCTCAAAATTAGGAAAATCAACATTATTGTTTTCAAAACATTCATTGTCATATCTGTTTTATTTGAGTTAAAAACTTCAAGACACGAGATGAGGAAAAAAAACCAAACAAACATGATTTAATGTTAAACCAAATGCAAAAGAAAGTGTCAACCCATAACGTACGAAGCCCAAGGCTCTAGGCAAAACAGTGAGGTTAATTAAAAAATGATTACATTTCAATAAGCATCACAGGAAAATTCTTTATCTTTCAGTTCTTGGGTTTGCAAATACTTCTTCTTCTTTATCCTTGTGGTATATTTGTAGGAAATATCTGTCAATTAGATCTTGGAGAATGCTTCTAAACTTGGTACACTCATTAATGACATGTTTGGCTCTTGGATGGACTCCACATGCCTCCTCAAGGTCACCTTCTCTCCTTAGCAAACCCAATTTTACCAGATTTTAAAAAATGAACCTTTTAGAACTTCGAATTTCACTTACATTCTTTACTAGCTTGTGTCATCCAACCTCGATGGCATTTGTTGAGGTATTTCCATGCTCGGCAAGGGGATTTACTTCAACACTAGGTTTATCCTCTTGGAACTTCAACTATCCTGCATCAATTAGAGATTGTACTTTGAATTTAAGGGACGTGCACTTTTCCGTTGAATGCCCAACGCTTCCCCCGTGAAAATCGCATCTCGCATTTGCATCAAAACTTTTGGAGTATGGAGGTCGTAAGGGTTTCATTGGGCAAACAGTGGCCAAACCTTTCTTAAGGAGATAGGGTATCAGTTTCATATATGTCAATGGAATGGGAGTGAAATTTTTCTCTAGGTTCCTCCTAGGATAAGTCCTTTGGTCAACGTTCTGATCGGGACCCAAGCCGGCTCTAGTGCCCTAGGAATTATTCGAAGCCTATTGTGGTTGATAATACCCTGGCGTTTGAGATCTTGTTTGGGGACCAGACACTATATTATTCACACAAGAAGGGTAACTCAGACTTGGTTGATAGATATGAGTGGGCGCATGACCTCCCCATATTGGTATTGTTGACGTTGCATGCACTCCCCTTCTTTCTCTTTTTCCGGATTAAAAATAGATTTCTTTGTAGTGGTGGATTGAGATGTAATTTTCTCATTCTTCAGCTCGATCTCGATTCTTTCGCCTATGATGATAATATCAACGAAATTGGAAGTCACATTTCCAATCATATGCTCATAAAAAGGCGGTTGTAGTGTACTCACAAACATTGCAACCATCTCTTTGTCGTATAGAGGTGGCTCAACCTGCGCTGCCAATTCTCTCCATCGTTGTGCGTACTCCTTAAAAGACTCCTCCTCTTTCTTTGCCATGTGGTGTAATTGTAACCTGTTTGGCGTGACATGCATATTGTATTTGTAATGCCTTACAAAGGAGTCTACCAAATCTGCCCAAGAACGGATATGAGAGGATTCCAGATGTGTATACTAACTCAACGCTACTTTGGCCAAGCTGTCTTGAAAGAAATGGATAAGTAATTTTTCGTCATGAGCGTAAGCAGCCATTTTTCGGCAATACATGGTCAAGTGGTTCTTGGGGCATGTGTTACCCTTGCACTTCTCAAATTCTGGCACCTTGAACTTGTGTGGAATTGTCACTCCTGAGGCCAAACTCAACTTTGCCACGTCATCAAACCCGTAACTTTCAAACCCTTTTATGGCCTTTAGCCTGTCTTCCAGTACTTCAAGTTTACTTTTCTCTTCTTCTGTGCCCGTGTGTATGGTGGCCTTAGTCGAAACATCATATGCAACAACTGTGTGAGGAGACTTGGATGTTTCATTCATCTTCGTCTCTGTCGTGAGGATAAGCCCTTGAGTACTAATGGGAAGTACGTTATTTATTATGGGAAATGCCAAAGAAGTGTGCTCTGCCTCTGAATGATCTCCGATCGACGGTGTGTAACCTGGTGGCAAACCATACATTGGAAACGTGAATTGTGTGCCTACAGGGTTATGTACTGGAGGGTGAGCATTATCGTCGGCCTTTATAGACGAAGTCTCTCCAACACTCTTCATGGTTTTCAAAGCCTCCAAGATTTGACCGACTTGATCTTTTAGTTGGCTAATATCGGCCCTTATAGCTTCAGGTTCCTCTTCCCAAACTTCCATAGCCTTAGAGTTTGCTCAAGTCCTATAAGGATGTCGTGGAAGTCCCGCCGTTGTTTTTTTTACTTAATTTTATATTGTTATGTTAATTTGAATTAGATGAAATTGAATATGCAAAATTGATGCATGCTGATAACAGGCGGAAATCACTAGTTCTTGATTCATGTGATCTCTGCTATGACAGGTAAAAAAATGTTGCTAATGTATAGGATGCATGAAAATGCATGTGCCAAATAATGATTAAAGGGCAACATGTTTTTATGCTTTTAAGGTAGGTCCAATGTCTTAAAGTCTAAGCATTATATATGCAATCTCACAAGGATGGCATCCTAAACCTAAAATCAAGGCTACCAGAGCTATGGTCCTTTTCACAGCGTTTTCCACAACAGTTGAGACGCAACTAGGTGTGAAATTGGATGTGAAGAGAACATACANCACTATGATGAATGCATGAATGTATGTGTGAAAATTCATGTGAGACCCAAATACTTCCCGTTTTGTTTTAATTCTAGAACATCCTTTAACAATACACTTGAACCTAGTGAATCTGCCTGTGATGCTCATTAGTTTTGGGAGACATTTTGAAAGTTAAGAGCGACCTTATGAAAGCGATGAAAAAAGATTTATTTAATAAAACATAATACAATATTGTCAATTCCACTTTAAAAGCATTCCATATCATGGAATCATTATGCATAGAATTTTTGACTACGTTAGAATTAAATGGCAAAGGCAACTCCTCTCCATCCATTCTGGTGAGAATAAATGCACTACCACCAAAAGCCTTCTATACCACATACGGGCCTTCATAATTTGGAGTCCACTTGCCCCTATGATCCTTTTGTATTGGAAAAATGTTTTTTAGGACCAATTCACCTTCTTGGAATTCCCTGGGATGTTCTTTCTTATCAAATGTCTTTTTGATTCTTTGCTGGTATAATTGCCCATGGCATGCGACAATCGATCTTTTCTCCTCAATGAGATTGAGTTGATCAAATCGAGTTTGAACCCAATCTGCTTCTTCTAACTAGGTTTCCATTAACACTCGTAATGATGTGATTTCTACCTCGAATGGTAGTATTGCTATATACCAACGAAAAAGGTGTTGCCCCAGTTGACGTGCGTACCGATGTGCAGTACTAGTGTAAATCGAAGGTAGAATCCTCTTGATATTTTTTATTAGCGGCCTTGATTGCCCCATTCATCTTTGGACGATGATGTGAAGTTTTCAAGTCTACGACAATGAGAAATTGTCTTTAAATCACGATAGTCAATACGCATTTGCTTTTTATCGTCCTTCTTCGACACGATACTTGCCACCCATTAGGAGAATTTTACCCTGGCTAAGAATCTCGTATAGAACTGCTTTCGTATTTCATATTTGATTCTAAAGACATTCTGGCTTGAGTAATAACTCGTGTTGAACTCTTTCTTCATGCCAGTGCCGACTTTTACCTCTTTTTTTTCGCCCTCTTCAGCTATATTAAAGATTTCAACCTCTCTTTGATGGGGTTTTATTTCTTTACAATCTTCCTTCAAAAATCTCATTAACTCTGGAAGGGATTCCGGGTCAATAATAATCATCTTCCATGTTATTGATAGGGTGCTCAAAATTAGGAAAATCAACATTATTGTTTTCAAAACATTCATTGTCATATCTGTTTTATTTGAGTTAAAAACTTCAAGACACGAGATGAGGAAAAAAAACCAAACAAACATGATTTAATGTTAAACCAAATGCAAAAGAAAGTGTCAACCCATAACGTACGAAGCCCAAGGCTCTAGGCAAAACAGTGAGGTTAATTAAAAAATGATTACATTTCAATAAGCATCACAGGAAAATTCTTTATCTTTCAGTTCTTGGGTTTGCAAATACTTCTTCTTCTTTATCCTTGTGGTATATTTGTAGGAAATATCTGTCAATTAGATCTTGGAGAATGCTTCTAAACTTGGTACACTCATTAATGACATGTTTGGCTCTTGGATGGACTCCACATGCCTCCTCAAGGTCACCTTCTCTCCTTAGCAAACCCAATTTTACCAGATTTTAAAAAATGAACCTTTTAGAACTTCGAATTTCACTTACATTCTTTACTAGCTTGTGTCATCCAACCTCGATGGCATTTGTTGAGGTATTTCCATGCTCGGCAAGGGGATTTACTTCAACACTAGGTTTATCCTCTTGGAACTTCAACTATCCTGCATCAATTAGAGATTGTACTTTGAATTTAAGGGACGTGCACTTTTCCGTTGAATGCCCAACGCTTCCCCCGTGAAAATCGCATCTCGCATTTGCATCAAAACTTTTGGAGTATGGAGGTCGTAAGGGTTTCATTGGGCAAACAGTGGCCAAACCTTTCTTAAGGAGATAGGGTATCAGTTTCATATATGTCAATGGAATGGGAGTGAAATTTTTCTCTAGGTTCCTCCTAGGATAAGTCCTTTGGTCAACGTTCTGATCGGGACCCAAGCCGGCTCTAGTGCCCTAGGAATTATTCAAAGCCTATTGTGGTTGATAATACCCTGGCGTTTGAGATCTTGTTTGGGGACCAGACACTATATTATTCACACAAGAAGGGTAACTCAGACTTGGTTGATAGATATGAGTGGGCGCATGACCTCCCCATATTGGTATTGTTGAAGTTGCATGCACTCCCCTTCTTTCTCTTTTTCCGGATTAAAAATAGATTTCTTTGTAGTGGTGGATTGAGATGTAATTTTCTCATTCTTAAGCTCGATCTCGATTCTTTCGCCTATGATGATAATATCAACGAAATTGGAAGTCACATTTCCAATCATATGCTCATAAAAAGGCGGTTGTAGTGTACTCACAAACATTGCAACCATCTCTTTGTCGTATAGAGGTGGCTCAACCTGCGCTGCCAATTCTCTCCATCATTGAGCGTACTCCTTAAAAGACTCCTCCTCTTTCTTTGCCATGTGGTGTAATTGTAACCTGTTTGGCGAGACATGCATATTGTATTTGTAATGCCTTACAAAGGAGTCTACCAAATCTGCCCAAGAACGGATATGAGAGGATTCCAGATGTGTATACTAACTCAACGCTACTTTAGCCAAGCTGTCTTGAAAGAAATGGATAAGTAATTTTTCGTCATGAGCGTAAGCAGCCATTTTTCGGCAATACATGGTCAAGTGGTTCTTGGGGCATGTGTTACCCTTGCACTTCTCGAATTCTGGCACCTTGAACTTGTGTGGAATTGTCACTCCTGAGGCCAAACTCAACTTTGCCACGTCATCAAACCCGTAACTTTCAAACCCTTTTATGGCCTTTAGCCTGTCTTCCAGTACTTCAAGTTTACTTTTCTCTTCTTCTGTGCCCGTGTGTATGGTGGCCTTAGTCGAAACATCATATGCAACAACTGTGTGAGGAGACTTGGATGTTTCATTCATCTTCGTCTCTGTCGTGAGGATAAGCCCTTGAGTACTANCACCAAAGGGATTTTCAGAGCTCCAATGTGCAGGGGTTCTTAGAGAAAGGTGATGAAAATTTTCAGTAAGAATGTAGAATAGAGAAAGGGGAAGACTCCTATCACGATACATATTCAAGCAAGGCGACTTCGAGCATAAAAAATGAAGCATAATGCAGCAAACTTACATGATTACATCCACACGAGTGAGTGCTTACCTCTTGTAGCTCTGCTTGCCTTTTCTCTTCGTCTCCGATGATCTCTCACCTTTGTAGCTGGCGTTTTTCGTTCTTTGCCGGTGCAAAAAATGGTCAAAAATCCCTCAGCGATGGATGATCCAAGATAATCAACAGAGCTATCAAAACCTCCTTTTTCTCTTTCCCAAAATCTTGGAAAAAACCCCCTAACCACCTGGTCTCCTGTCCTCTCTCCTTCCAAAAAATCTTCGAAAAATATTCCCTTCCACCTTGTCCCCCTCCTTCTAGACACGTCTCCCATATCCCCTTTTCCACGTTTTCTATTTTTTATTTTTTTTATTATATTTTTTTTATTATTTTTTTTATCTCAATTTTATCTTATTTTTCAATCAACTATTTTTAATATTATTTTTCAATTTTTTTTTTAATTAATAATTTTTTTTAATTATTTTGATTAATTAACTCTATTAAAACACCTTGAAAATAAGAACTAAAATAGAAATTGAATTAAAAGCATAAAAATAGAATAAAACAAAAAGGTAAAATAAAATAAAAGGAAAATAAATAAATAACCAATAGAATTTTTACAACCCGGACAAAATTGAGTGTTGACATCGGGGAATACGGTAAGTATTTTAAATATTTTGATTCTTGTTTTTATTTTTAATTTTTTTAATTATTTGTTTTTTTTAGTTAACGCACATACATTTAATTTAGTTTGAGTTATTTTGTAGCCTTTAGTTATTCTTGTTTTTAGCAAAAATCTTTGTTCTTGTTTTAAGTAAGAATTCCTCTTGAGAAATACTTGAGGCTAGTTTGAATACACTCTGGCTAGGTGTTAACCCTCGGCAAGTGTAACCGAATCGTATCAAGTAATAATAAATGGTAAGACCAAGTATCATTTCCCACAGGACTCATGGCCTAAACAGTTGTATGATTTCTTGATTAAATAAGACTTGTAAAACAAATTCTTGTAGGTTTAAATGCAAATACTGAAAATTAAATATGAATGCATGTACTGATCAATTGGATCAAAAGAAGCAAATGAGAGTGAGATATATGGAATGATAATGTTGTTGGGGGGTTTTGAATTCATCTTATCCACTCTCATGTATTCAATAATTCATCTTCTTCATTAATGATAATGCCACTTTCTAATTTACCTTAAACCCAATGTCTTGGAGAAGAAAGCCTACTCCTAATCACTAGTTTGCAATGTCTTGTCTCCCTAGCAATTTCATGCATTACATTCACATCGAAGCTTAAAGGCAACCAATCCTCTTGTCCCTATGTCTAGGCAATATTACTATTGGGAGAATTTCTTCATGTCTAGATTTATCTATGTGTCCATACAAATAAAATCAATGATTATGCAATT